TTCTGCCTGGCGGGCGCTCCTCCCGAGGGTGCCCCGCCCCCTCTGCCGCGGGGTGGCCCGCCGCGGGGAGCCTAAATGGCAGCCGCCGGCTGGCCGCACTTCGTGCCGCGCGCGGAGCTGGACGTGGAGCTGCGGGAGCTCCGCGGCCGCCTGGAGCAGGCGGGCGCGAGCCCTGCCGCCGCGGGCTCGTCTGTCGGGTGATGACGTCGATGCATATCCACTGCTGCTGCTGCTGCTGCTGCTGCTGCTGCTGCTGCTGCTCCTCCTCCTCCTCCTTCTCCTCCTCCTCCTCCCCCGCCTCCTTCCCCTCCCCTTCCTCCTCCTCCTCCTCCTCCTCCTCCTCCTCTCCTCCTCCCCTCCTCCTCTTGTCCTCCTCCCTCCTCCTGCCTCCTCCTCCTCCTACTCCTTAATCCATCACACCACCCCCATCATCACCTGATCATCACCATGATGATGATCATCATCATCATCATCATCATCATCATCATCATCATCATCATCATCCTCAGCATCAGCATCAGCATCAGCATCATCATCGCAGCATCAGCATCAGCATCAGCATCAGCATCATCATCAGCATCAGCATCAGCATCAAGCAGCATATCGTCGCATCATCATCATCATCATCATCATCATCATCATCATCTCATCATCATCATCATATCATCATCATCATCATCATCATCATCATCATCATCAATAATAATCATCCTCAATCCTCCCATCATGCATCATCCCCCCCACATCATCATCATCAGCATCTCATCATTTCCGTCCTCCTCCTCCTTCCTCCGACCTCCCCCTCTCCTTCTTCACCTCTCCTCCTCTTCCTCATCCCCCCCCTCCTCCTGCGTTTCTCCTCGTTCCTCCTCCTCCTCCTCCGCCTCTCCTCTTCCTCCTCCTCCCTTCCCCCCTCCTCGTCCTCCTCTTCCTCCTCCTCCTCCTCCTCCCCCTCCTCCTCCTCCTCCTCCTCCTCCTCCTCCTCCTCCAGTGCTTCCTGGCCAGGCCCATCCAGAACCCAGGAGTGGCCAAGCCAGGAGGGCGTGGCGTGTGCACCGCTGCTGGGTTGACTCACCGCTATAGTCTGGGCTCGGGGATCCAGCCGCTTCGGCTTCGGCTCCGCGTGCCGACGCGGCCCGGTCTGGTGCAGATTCCCATTCGATTCGGCGCCAGCAGTCGTTCTGAGGATCGTCGAGATGTGCAGGGCTCACTCCGAGCCCTCCGGTTCGACTCGATTTCGATGGCCTCCGATTCCGATTCGATTCGACTTCGGATTCCGAGTTGGACGCCGATTTCTCAAGGGATGCCTACTGGCCTGCCGATTTCTGCCGATTCGACTTCTCCTGACTTGGCTGCCGATTTCTGCCGATCCGACTCATTTCGATTGCCTATCCGACATCGATTCGATTCTGGGCTCTCCTGCAGGTGGTCAGGAGCGTGGCTGGCCTCGAGGGCCGCGCGGGGCTGTCGGAGGACGCACTCGGAGAGCTGCGGGCCCGGTGTCGCGACGAGCTGGCCACCAGGCTCCGGCGGCGCGCGCAGCAAAGGGGGCCGGCGCGGGGGATGGGGGGTCCTTCTGAGAAGGCGGGGTGCTCCTCAGAAGGCGGGGGGGCTTTCTTGGATCTGTACCTTTTAACCGACCCCCATCCCCATCCTCATCCCGTTCGAGACCCCCGCCAAATTACCACCCCAATTGGGGATACATGATCCAGGGTCGAGGGTTCACGGCCCCCCCCCCCCGATGGTATGGTCCCAGGATTCCTCGGGCTCCCCCCCCCAGATGGTATGGTCCCAGAGACGACGACGACGACGACGACGACGGCGACGACGACGACGACGACGACGACGGCGACGACTACGACGACGGCGACGACGACGACGACCACGACGACGACGACGACGACGGCTGCGGCGGCGACGACGCCGGCGGCGGCGGCGACGACGACGATGACGACGATGACGACGGCGACGACGACGATGACGACGACGACGACGACGACGAGGACGACGAGGAGGACGACGACGACGACGACGACGACCTCTGAACCACCAAAGCACCACACCACATCCACAGGGGGGGGGGAGGGGGGCACCGCAGCGCAGCACCACGCCACGCCCACTGCTGAACCACCACAGCACCACACCACATCCACAGGGGGGGGGGCACCGCAGCGCAGCACCACGCGACGCCGACAGGGGGGGGGCGGGGGGGACCATCGCGCGGGGGGGGGGGAGCCCAATGGCATCAGCATTGGGGGGGGGGTGGCCCAAGCCCTGGACCATACATCCCTCGAAACCCGAAGGGAACGGCCTATATCCGTAAGGGCTTCGCCCCCTGCCGCCGGCCCCTCTCTCGGAGAATGGGAGATGCAACAACTAAATCATGAGGTCTGGGCGCCGCCGTGAAGCAGTGTCGGGACCTGGTTGTTTTTGGACCCTGACCCTACGGATCTGCGTGAGGGGTGCCGCCGAATTTCAAGAATGTTACAAATCCCTGGTGTTTTTTTGGACCCTGACCCTACGGATCTGCGTGAGGGGTGCCGCCGAATTTCAGAAATGTTGCAAATCCTTTGTGTTTTTTTGACCCTGACCCTGCCGATCTGCGCGAGCGGTGCCACCGAATTTCAGAAATGTGGCAAATCCTCTGTGTTTTTGGACCCTGACCCTACGGATCTGCATGAGGGGTGCCGCCGAATTTCAGAAATGTAGCAAATCCTTTTTGTTTTTGGACCCTGACCCTGCCGATCTGCGTGAGGGGTGCCACCGAATTTTTGTAGAAATGTTGCAAATCCCTGGTGTTTGTTTGGACTCTGACCCCGCCGATGTGCGTGAGAGGTGCCACCGAATTTCAGAAATGTGGCAAATCCCTTGTGTTTTTGGACTCTGACCCCGCCGCTCTGCGTGAGGGTTTGCCACCGAATTTCAGACATGTGGCAAATCCTTCGTGTTTTTGGACCCTAACCTTACGGATCTGCGTGAGGGGTGCCGCCGAATTTCAGAAATGTGGCAAATCCCTTGTGTTTTTGGACCCTGACCCTGCCGATCTGTGTGAGCGGTGCTACCGAATTTCAAAAATGTAGCAAATCCTTTGTGTTTTTGGAGCCTGACCCTACGGGTCTGCATGAGGGGTGCCGCCGAATATCAGAAATGTGGCAAATCCCTTGTGTTTTTGGACCCTGACCCTGCCGATCTGCGTGAGGGGTGCCACCGAATTGTTCAAACATGTGGCAAATCCCGTGTGTTTTTGGACTCTGACCCCGCCGATCTGCGTGAGGGGTGTAAGTTTGTACCAACCCGAGCAATTCACAGTGTAGAAATGCCCGTTTGGGGTTTCCCCCCCTCGCGCGGTCCATCAACAAGGAAAAGTAAGCAGCAAGAAGTCAACAAGGAACAGTAAGCAGCAAGAAGCAGAACTGTAACCGTGGAACCTGGAAGCTGCAACTGGTACAGGAAACTGCGAAGCTTAGGCCTACAGCCTGGTGGCCCCACAAGGGGGCCGGCGGATCCCCAACTAGGGGGGTAAATCGGCCAGTGGGGCCCAGGCCACGCCGCTGGGGATGGGTGTCGGATAAACGATGCTCCCTAGAAGGGCCGGGCGGCTTCCCAGAAGGCTTTCGACAAGCCCCCCAGGCGACCCGGCCGGCTGCCTTCTCTTAGGCCTCAGGCCCTGGCGGCGCGCACAGTGGGTTGGCGCGGGGGGGGGGGGCGGCCCATAGCAGGAGGGGAACACACACAGACGCAGTTCATCGTCGGCTCCTAGGAGGATATGGGGACACATGGGAAGTGGTGGTGGGGGGAAGACGAAAGCCCTGAAAAAGGAAGGCAGAGGGAGCCCTGGGATCTGTGTCTAGTTCTTTGTGTGTGTGTGTGTGTGTGTGTCCCTGGGCCTCCTTGCCACAGGGCTCCCCCAAAAGAGCTGCTCCGAGGGCCGCCCCTCAGGGGGTAGGAGGAGACAGAGGGCCGCCCCTCGTGGTGTGCCCCTTCCTCCTCCTCCTCTTCCTCCTCCTCCTCCTCCTTCTCCTCCTCCTCCTCCTCCTCCTCCTCCTCCTCCTCCTCCTCCTCTTTCTCATCATCATCATCATCATCATCATCATCATCATCATCATCATCATCATCATCATCATCATCATCATCATCATCAGTATTATTATTATTATTGTTATTATTATTATTATTAATATTATTAGTATTATTATTATTAATATGATCAGTATTATCATTAGTATTGCTGCTATTATTCGTAATCTTATTATTGCTATTCTTATTGTTATTACCATCCATCATCCATCATCCATCATCCACCATCCATCATCCATCATAATAATCACCACCATCATCATCAGCACCATCATCATTATCATCATCAGCATCATCATCAGCATCCATCATCCATTATCCATCGTCCACCATCCATCATCCATCATAATTATCACAACCACCATCATCACCATCATCATTATCATCAGCATGACCATCATCAGCAGCAGCATCATCATCATTATCAGTATCGTCATCATCATCATCATCATCATCATCATCATCATCATCATCAGCATCAGCATCAGCATCAGCATCATCACCATCACCATCACCATCACCATCACCATCATCATCATCATCATCATCATCATCATCATCATCATCATCATCATCATCATCATCATCATCATCATCATCATCGAGCTGCTCGCCGCCGCCCCCCGCGGCGCGCGCGCCATATTCAGCAGGCTGGCGCTGGGGGGTGTGGAGAGCCGCCTCGAGGTCGACATCGGCATCTGCAGGCAGGAGCTTCGGCGGAGGAGGAGGAGGCGGAGGAGGAGGAGGAGCAGGAGGAGCAGGCATCTCAGAGAATTCGGCGGCGAGCGAGGGGGGGAAATGAGATTGAGGAGGCCTTCTCTCGAAGAAACGCCATACACATAAACTTTAAGCGCTCCGCGAGGATTTCTTGGCTCCACGCTGGGCCCCCCCCTTGCGGCGCCTCGGGCGCCGCCCCTGGCGCGCGCTCCGCGCGCCAGGGAGGGGGGTCCAGTGCGGATCCAGGAAATCCGCGTGGAGCGCCAAAAGTTTATGTTGATGCCGTTTCTTCTTTTTCTATTCTCAGCAGGCGGCGGGACTTCTCAGAAGCCCTTGCGCCTTCGGAGAGGTTTTTTGCGTCCTCGGGGAAGGCTCAGAACACTCGTCTCTCAGAAGGCCGGGAAGCTTCCGAGCCTTCTGAGAAGGCCCGCCCCTCCTCACTTCCCCCCCGGGCGCACCGCCTAGAGATGAGTACGGCCCGGCCGAGGTATAAGATCGAGGTCGGTTCAGGGAGGGTACCCCGGCGTTCTTCGTGCTTGCCGGATGTTCTTGTGCATCCTCAGGGAGGCTACCCTTGGATGTTCTGTGCGTTCTGGTCGGCGGAGGGTCCCGTGGTCTTCAAGGATTCTCTTCTGTCCTAGGTCTGGCAGTGCGCATCGAGGGACACAGCCACGGCGTGAGCACGAGTTCTTACAGGTCCGCGCGGATGTCCGTGGGTCGGCGCGGGCCCCGCCGCCCCCACACCTGGCGGCGCCTCTGCGCGCAGACGTGCGAACGCTTCTGCTTGTGCCGTGTCCTTCGAAGAAGAAAGCGCCACTGGAACATCATTTTTTTGGCGCTCCGCGCGGATTTCTTGGAACCGCGCCTGGGCCCCCCCAGCGGCGCCTCCGGCGCCGCCCCTGGCGCGCGCTCCGCGCGCCAGGGAGGGGGGCCCAGCGCGAATCCAAGAAACCCGCGTGGAGCGCCAAAAGTTCATGGGTATGTGTTGTTTTCCTTTTCTATTCTTTCTCCTTTCTGCTACAGTCGGACCGAGGTACAAGGACGAGGTCGGTTCGGGGAGGGTGCCCGAATGTTCTTCGTTGTTGTTGGATGTTCCTGTGCATCCTGGGGGAGGGTGCCCTCGAATGGTCTCAAGGTTTGGGGTGTTTTGGCCGGCAGATGGTCTCACGCTCTTGAAGGATGTTCTTCTGCCCCCGGTCCGACTCTACATCGGCGCCGCCCGAAATTCCGACCGACTGGAATCCCAGTGGGGCCGCCGTGCTCGGCGCTTGGGGGGGGGGGAGCGTGCCACTGTCGGCCAGGGCAGAGGCCCCGGAGGAGGGAGTCCAGAACCCGTCTGTTCCCCGGCCTCGCCTCTGCGAGCAGCGCCGACGTCGGTTATTTAGGGCCTCTTTTTGGTATTCAGATTCGGGCAAGTTTGCTTGCATGGCGTTCGCCCCACCCCCCCACGCCCCCCCACACACACACCCCTCTTCAGACGAAGACTGGCGTGCAAGTGCCTTTCGACTTGCGTGGTTTCCGCACGTGCAAGTCGTTTGCGGCTTGCTTCGCAGGTTCAGCCCCCCCCCGCCCATGCAAGTGACCTTGTCGGAATCTACAAAAATGCAGGCTCTTATACCCGTGACCACATAAGACTTAGACTACAACAGTTTCTGGGAGGTTTGCAAGGGAGCTTTGGCGCTGGTGGATCTGTGGTCGACAAGCGGCCTGTTCTGGCCTAGCCCCGCATAGTCCGGCTCAGTCCCGCATAATTCGGCTTAGGCCTGGGTGTGGTCCGGTTGAAACTGGCCTCATGGGTTTAAATCGCAGGTGAGCGCCCTTGAAGGTCGTTCCCACGGAGACCTGCCACGAGTTTGTTCCTAGCTAAAACACTTTGTTCCTAGCTAAAACACTTCCCCGCCACCGTGCTTGTGCAACAGCGCAGCCGGAAGGAGGTTGAGTGTAGGAACGGCGCAAGTCCGATGATTAGTCTGCATTGGGGCGTGTCGTGGTTCCGACCTCGTGTTCGTCCGCGCGGTAAGGATGATGGTGATGCTGCTGCTGCTGCTGCTGCTGCTGATGATGATGATGATGATGATGATGATGATGATGACGTTGATGATGCTGCTTCTGATGATGGTGCTGATGCTGCTGATGATGGTGCTGAACCTGATGGTGCTGTTGTTGGTGATGCTGCTGATGTTGATGATGCTGATAATGACGATGGTGATGATGATATGATGGTGCTAATGATGATGCTGCTGATGATGAGGAGAAGCAGGAGGATGGTGTTGATGATGATGATGATGCTGATGATGATCATGATGATGATGATGATGCTGATGCTGATGCTGATGCTGATGATGATCATGATGATGATGATGATGATGATGATGGTGATGATGATGATGATGATGATGATGATGATGATGATGATGATGATGATGATGATGATGATGATGATGATGATGATGAGGCGGAGGAGGAGGAGGCGGAGGAGGAGGAGGCGGAGGAGGAGGAGGAGGAGGATGCCGCGGCCCAGTGCTTGCCTCGGAGCCCTGGCCCGTGACGCACCCTTGGCAGGGGCTCCCCAGGGTTGCAGCGGCCTCGGCACGGCAGGCTCTCGCCCCACGCTGCTTCGGGGTCCCCTAGACGGTGTGGGATCCCACCCTAAACGGTGTGGTGACTCCACCATTCGGAGTCAGCCCTGACCCCCTCGGGCCCTGAAACACTCACGGCGGAAGGCTTTTCGCAATTTTCGGCCTTTGGGGGCCCTCACCGGGCGTCGGGACCGTCCGAAAACGACTCGGGATGAAAACCGGTCCCAGGGAATGAGGAATGGGTCGAGACCGCTGGGGGTCGACGATTTGAAACAAAAACTGATATTGCCACGAACCACGACCGTGAAATGCATGTGGGATGACGTATGATCTGCCTCTTGGGGGCTTGATTTGATAACGGGAAAGAGTTCCGACGAAGACTTGTGCGTTGATCATGGTGTTCGTCTCATGTTGTTCCTGGGAGCTTTTTGGAGTGTCTTGGATGCTCGTATGCTCTGTGGGGGACCCGTTGGAGTTCCAGTCGCCTTGCGGGATGTGCGCCTGGGACGCGCAGAGTATGCGCGTTGTAGGGTTTCACTGGGTCCTCTGCGGCGCACCTGGGAAGTTTTTCGGGTGCATGCCTCCTGTGGGCGTCTGGAGATGTTCTCGGGGCCTCTTCAAAGCTCCTGGGCCCTCTCTGGGTTCTCTCCCGCCGTCTGGCACCTTCGGAGGCTGTGACCTCTGAGGGCCGACGTTATGAGAAAGCCCTGACGTCGGGGGTCTGGGAGGGTGGATGCCTCGAGATCCCGGCGTCGCCTTTCTTTCACCGCGGGCGTCGTCGCCCGGCTTCGGGCCTCGGGACCCTCACGGGGCGCTCGGGCTCGGGAAATGGTGCATGAAGATGGATTCTGAGGTTCCGGTGGCGATTTATTGCGAAGGCCTTACGGCCGGTGCCGCCGACCCTGGAGGGCGACCCATGCGTTCTCTAATGTGGCGGGGGGGGCCTCTTGGGGGTATCTTTGGGTCTCGTGTGTGGGGGGGTCGTGTTGGGGCCGTTGTTGGCAATCGTGAGGCCGTTGATGGCGATTTTTTGTTTTGCGATGCTGCATTTTTTCCCCAGCTCAGGTCCGAGCGGTGGCCACACCGCGTGGTGAGTCCGTGAGGGGTCACGACGTCTCCGCCGGCTCCCGGAGGTTGCGCTGCAGCAGCTGCGCCCTTTCCGAGGGCCTTCGGCGCCCGGGGATCGTCCCGCACGGCCGCCGGGTGCTGGAGTTTTTGTCCCTAGAAGCAGACCGAACCTCCCGAGGAGGGCCAGTGTGGCAAGTCAGCGGGGAGTCGGGGTCACAGCGCGGATTTGGGACTTGGGTGGTTTTCCGAGGACGTCTCGGGCGACTGGGGCCTCCAGGCTCCAGGGTCCCAAAACCGTGTGGTGACGTACAGTGCGGTGTAGTCTTTCGGGTTTCGAGGTCAACGCGCGGTGTGTCACCGTATGGTTGTGGGCCCCTCTAGTTGGTGCGCCACAAAGCAAACCTGGACCTCTGACGATATAACTCCTTGAATCCCAGTGTTTCCGAAGTTTCGGCGAGCTCGGGGGCTGTTTTCGAGCCCTGGGACCATCGAAAACGAATACGGGACAAAAAACGACCGGCCGGGAAGGGGTCGGGAGACCGGGCTAGAATGAGGGTGAATCTGTTCCAGAGCGTGTTGGAACGCTCTCAGAGCGTTCCGGAACGCTCTGAGAAGGCCGCGGCGCCCCAGACCCTCCAGAGCTGCCGTCTCTCAGAGGTTCTCGATCTATCCCTGCCCGAACTTATTCTCGTCCTGGCTTCGCCTTACGCTGATGGTGCAAAACCAGATGGTCGCATGTTTGGGGCTGATTCGCCGTCGTCGTCCTCGCCGCATTCATCGTCGGCGTCCTCCTCCGCCTCCTCGTCGCCGTCGTGTTCGTCGTCCTCGCAATCGTCGTCGTCGTCGTCGTCGCCTTCCTCGTCTTCGTCGTCGTCATCCTCGTCTGGGTTTTGCCGCCAGCTGTGGGCTCCCCGGGCCCTCCTCTCCTCGACCCCTTCTCCCCCCGGGGGGGTTGTCTTGTGGCCCCGGATCCGTCTTTCATGGCCCCGGGGGCCCAGTATCGGCCCCTGCATGGAGGCCTTGTCGAGGACAGGCGCCCAGATGACAACTTCAGATCGTCGCAGGCCCCTCGGAACCTCGTCAAAACAGGGGGTGCGAAGCCCCTGGGGGACCCCTCCTGGAAAACCCCCTCCCCAAAAACCCCTTGTGGAACCCTCCGGCCTGCGCGCGTCGCGGGGGCGACCCGCGCGCGTCGCGGGGATTCCGTGCCGCGCTCCGCACAGCGCCTCGCTCGTCTGGCGAGGCGCTTTGCCCAGCGGCCGGCTCCGCGCAGCGGACGACCCGCGCGCGATCCCCGAGTGCCGATCCTCGACCTCGACCTCCCGAGGAGCTCGGGACACACAGGCCCTTGGAGGCGGGGGTCGAGGAGGAGCGCCCCCGGAGGAGAGCTTCGGATCGTGGCAGACCTGGGGGTCCCCGATGCCCAAAGGCCGATCCTCCTCCTCCTCCTCCCTCCTCCTCCTCTCCTCCTCCTCCTCCTCCTCTCCGCCTCCTCCTCCCCCTCCCCCTCCCCCTCCTCTCCTCCTCCCCCTCTCCTCCTCCTCCTCCTCCTCCTCCTCCTCCTTGGCTCAAGCCATTTTGGCTCAAGCCATTTAACCCAAGGTATTTTTGGCTCAGGCCGTGATGCCTTGTCTTCTCGGATGCTGGGCATCGGTCGAGGGTCTCGAGAAGGCGCTATCTCCATCGAAGCTCGATCAAGAACTGCGGTCGGACAAAGCAATGGAGCGCAGCTCTGCGGTTGCTCCGCGAAGGAGTTCGATCAGGTGTGCAACCCGTCCGTCCGAAGCCACTACATTGCGACTGTCAGCTCATGCAGAAAAGGCCTACAATGGCAACACGCGCTGTCAGTACTGAGAGAGATGTGGGAGGCGAAGCTGGAGCCCAACATCATCAGCTACAACGTTGGGATCAGCGCGTGTGGGAAGGGCGGGCAGTGGCAGCGGGCGCTGGCGCTGCTGAGGGGGATTCGGGAGGCGAAGCTGGAGCCCGACGTCATCGGCTACAGCTCTGGGATCAGCGCGTGTGGGAAGAGCGAACAGTGGCAGCGGGCGCTGGCCCTGCTGAGCGAGATGCGGGAGGCGAAGTTGGAGCCCGACGTCTTCAGCCATAACGCTGGGATCAGTGCTTGCGAGAAGGGCGAGCAGTGGCAGCGGGCGCTGGCGCTGCTGAGCGAGTTGCTGGAGGCGAAGCTTGAACCCGACGCCATCTCTCCTACATGGCCGGTGGAAGCGCGTGCGAGAGTGACTCAGGGCCTCGTGTGCACAACATGGCCCCTTTACGGCGCCACCCCGGGGCCGAATCGCTCAGTCCAGTCCCAGAGGCGCTCCAGAGGGGTTCCCAGACCGTCCAAGAGCGCTCCAAGACGACCTCAGTGGGTCCCGAGACGGCCCACGAGGGCCCGAAGCCTTCCGGGGGAGGAGCTCCACGACGATCCAAGAGGCCGCAAAGATGCCCCAAGATGGCCCCCAGCGCACGCCAAAGAGGGACAATTCGTCAAATTCCGATGGGGAAACTTATCTTTTCAGCATGCCCGCCTTGTGTGCTCCTCAGCGGCCCAGGACACGCCAAGAGGCCTCCCAAGTCGCCCCAAGAAGACGCCAGCGGCCCCTAAGAGAGCTCCAAGACGGCCCACAAGCAAGAGCCCCAAGACGACGCCAGAGAGCCCTGAAACGGTCTTACAGAACCTCAAGACGGCCCCAAGAGAGCCCCGAAGGGGCCCCAAGAGGCTCCCAAGACGGCCTCAGGCAGCCTCAAGAGAGCTCCAAGACGGTCCAAGGCCTCCCAGACGCCCCGTGACGGCCCAAAAAGGCCCCAAAACGTTCCAAATGTCTCCCAGAGCAGCCCCAAAAAACATCAAAATGGCCCGAACAAGACCCCCTACAAGGACCACCAAGCAGGCCCAGAGACGCCCACTAAAAGAGCGATCGGTGAAGTACAAAGCTCTTCTCACCAAGGCTCCCAAGAGCGAGACGCAGCGTAGAAAGCTCTCCCAGGCACAGCTCCCAAGAGCGAGCGGTGAGGTCGGGACACCCTTCCGACCTCTCACACAGGAGCACGCACGCACAGCACGCCAGCACAATATATTTCCTGGGCTGTTCCCCAGAAGAGCCTCGGGGGGACAGCCCAGGAACAGCCCCAGAGGCGGCCCAAAAAACTTAAGAGAAAAGGCCCCCAGGAGGCCGCAAGACGGCCCAAGAGGGCCCCGAGAGGCCCCTAAGAGGCCGCAAGACAGCCAACGAGGCCCCAACTGGTCCCCAGGAGCTCGAAAAGAAACCCCGAGAGGCCCACTAACCGTTCCCAAGGAGACGGCAGCGCCCGCCATCAGGCTTCGAAGAGGCAACTGGAGAAAAGTCACCCGAGTCCTCCAGGTGACTTTTTTCAAGGCCCCAGGTGCTTTCAAAATTGACAAGCGGCGAGACGTACACCGCAGACCCACCATAGCCGTCTGTGACGCTCCGAAGGCTGTCTAGGCGGAGGTAGAGCGGAAGGCGGACGAAGAGAAGGAAGCGGTCCAAGAGGGCCTTTGAGACGGCCCAAGACCGCTCGAAGACGCTCCAGACGAGCTGAGGCAAACGAAATCATTGATTCTTCTATGGTTTCTGAAAGATTTCCACCTTCTCGCCATTTCGAGCGAAGACAGGCCCAAGACAGCCTTTTCGAGCCAAGACTGGCCCAAGATGACGTGGACGAAGTCCACGGGTTCGCCCTAGTCAGCTACAACGCTGGGATCAGTGCTTGCGAGAAGGGCGAGCAGTGGCAGCGGGCCCTGGCGCTGCTGAGCGAGATGTGGGAGGCGAGGCTGGAGCCCAACGTCATCAGCTACAACGCTGGGATCAGTGCTTGCGAGAAGGGCGAGCAGTGGCAGCGGGCCCTGGCGCTGCTGAGCGAGATGTGGGAGGCGAAGCTGGAGCCCGACGTCATCGGCTACAGTGCTGGGATCAGTGCGTGTGGGAAGGGCGAGCAGTGGCAGCGGGCCCTGGCGCTGCTGAGCGAGATGTGGGAGGCGAGGCTGGAGCCCGACGTCATCAGCTACAGTGCTGGGATCAGTGCTTGCGAGAAGGGCGAGCAGTGGCAGCGGGCGCTGGCGCTGCTGAGCGAGATGTGGGAGGCGAGCCTTCAGCCTAACGTCATCAGCTACAATGCTGGGATCAGTGCGTGCAGGACGGGCGAGCAGTGGCAGCGGGCCCTGGCGCTGCTGAGCGAGATGTGGGAGGCGAGCCTTCAGCCTAACGTCATCAGCTACAACGCTGGGATCAGTGCTTGCGAGAAGGGCGAGCAGTGGCAGCGGGCACTGGTACTGCTGACCGAGATGCGGGAGGCGAGGCTGGAGCCCAACGTCATGAGCCACATCGCTGGGATTAGTGCTTGCGAGAAGGGCGAGCAGTGGCAGCGGGCCCTGGCGCTGCTGAGCGAGATGTGGGAGGCGAGGCTGGAGCCCAACGTCATCAGCTACAGTGCTGGAATCAGCGCGTGTGGGAAGGGCGAGCAATGGCAGCGGGCCCTGGCGCTGCTGAGCGAGATGTGGGAGGCGATGCTGAAACCCGACGTCATCTCTCCTACATGGCCAGTGGATCTGTGTGCGGGAAGGGTTCACAGAGCCTCGTGTGCACAAAATCGCCTCGTGTGCCACCACGGGGCCGACTCGCTCAGGCCGGTCCCAGAGGCGCTCCAGAGGGGCCCCAGACCGTCCAAGAGCGCTCCAAGGCGGCCTCAGTGGGTTCCGAGACGGCCCATGAGGGCCCGAAGCCTTCCGGGGGGGGAGCTCCACGACGATCCAAGAGGCCGCAAAGACGCCCCAAGAGGGCCCCGAGCGCACGCCAAAGAGGCACACATCATCAGATTCCCATGGGGAGCATGCCCACCTTGTGTGCTCCTCAGCGGCCCAGGACACGCCAAGAGGCCTCCCAAATCGCCCCGAGAAGACGCCAGCGGCCCCTAAGAGAGCTCCAAGACGGCCCAAAAGAGCCCCAAGACGACGCCAAAGAGCCCTGAAACGGCCTCACAGAACCCCAAGACGGCCCCAAGAGAGGTCCGAGGGGGCCCCAAGAGGCTCCCAAGACTGCCTCAGGCAGCACGCCAAAGAGGCACAAATCGTCGAGTCAGATGCCTATGGGAAAACGTATCTTTTCAGCATGCCCGCCTTGTGTGCTCCTCAGCGGCCCAGGACACGCCAAGAGGCCTCCCAAATCGCCCCAAGAAGACGCCAGCGGCCCCTAAGAGAGCTCCAAGACGGCCCACAAGAGTCCCAAGACGACGCCAGAGAGCCCTGAAACGGCCTCACAGAACCCCAAGACGGCCCCAAGAGAGCTCCGATGGGGGCCCCAAGATGCTTCCAACACAGCCGCAGGCAGCACGCCAAAGAGGTACAAATCGTCAATTTCCTATGGGAAGATGCATATTTTCAGCATGCCCGCTTTGTGTGCTCCTCAGCGGCCCAGGACACGCCACGAGGCCTCCCAAATCGCCCCAAGAAGACGCCAGCGGCCCCTAAGAGGGCTCCAAGACGGCCCACAAGAGCCCCAAGACGACGCCAGAGAGCCCTGAAACGGCCTCACAGATCCCCAAGACGGCCCCAAGAGAGCTCCGAGGGCCCCAAGAGGCTCCCAAGACGGTTCAAGGCCTCCCAGACGCCCCGTGACGGCCCGAAAAGGCTCCAAAACGTCCCACAAGTCTCCCAGAGCAGGCCAACAAAAACATCATAATGGCCCGAACAAAAAAAAAACCATACAAGGACCACCAAGCAGGCCCAGAGACGCCCACTAAAGAGCGATCGGTGAAGTACAAAACTCTTCTCACCAATGCTCCCAAGAGCGAGACGCAGCGTTGAGAGCTCTCCCAGGCACAGCTCCCAAAGGCGAGCGGTGACGTCGGGACACCCTTCCGACCTCTCACACAGGAGCACGCACGCACAGCACGCCAGCACAATAGATTTCCTGGGCTGTCCCCCGGAAGAGGCTCGGGGGGACAGCCCGGGAACGGCCCCAGAGGCGGCCCAAAAAACTTCAAGAGAAAAGGCCCCCAGGAGGCCGCAAGACGGCCCTCCAGGGCCCCAAGAGGCCCCTAGTAGGCCGCAAGACAGCCAACGAGGCCCCAACTGGTCCCCAGGAGCTCGAAAAGAAACCCCGAGAGGCCCACTAACCGTTCCCAAGGAGACGGCAGCGCCCGCCATCGGGCTTCGAAGAGGCAACTGGAAAAAAGTCACCCGAGTCCTCCGGGTGACTTTTTTCAAGGCCCCAGGTGCTTTCAAAATTGACAGGCGGCGAGACGTACACCGCAGGCCCACCATAGCCGTCTGTGACGCTCCGAAGGCTGTCTAGGCGGAGGTAGAGCGGAAGGCGGACGAAGAGAAGGAAGCGGTCCAAGAGGGCCTCCGGGACGGCCCAAGACCGCTCGAAGACGCTCCAGACGAGCCGCGGCAAACGAAATCATTGATTCTTCTATGGTTTCTGAAAGATTTCCACCTTCTCGTCATTTCGAATGAAGACAGGCCCAAGACGACCTTTTCGAGCCAAGACTTGGCCCAAGATGACGTGGACGAAGTCCACGGGTTCGCCCTAGTCTACACTACAACGCAGGGACACGTGCGTGCGGGAAGTGCGGGCGCTGGCGGGGCGTAACCGGCCTCCCTGGTCGCCCCACGACGGCCTGAGACGCACCAGATGGCCACAGCGCTCCGAGATGCCCAAACTAGGCACCAGACGGCCCAGAAGTCCTCCCGAGACGCTCCAAGTCGGCTCCAGGACGAGCCCCAAAAACGCCAGATCAATGATATATAGAATTCCCAGGAAAAACGAGCCTTTCTCCAGGTCCCCTGCTTTTCGTCCACTGCGATGTCCACACGGCCCTACTGGCCCTCCAGATTACCCCACCACGCCTCTGGAAGCCCCCTGGACGGCCCCCTGGACGGCCCCACGATGGCTCTTGAGGCGCTGATGGCAGCCCAAGAGGCTGCCACGACAGCGCCGCGACGGTCCCAAAACGAGTCAAGACGGCTCCGAGACGGCTCCAAGACGGCCCCAGAGGCGCTAAAGACGGCCCCCCACTGCCCCGAGACGGCCCCAGAGGCGCCCAAGAGGACCCCAAGCCAGGCCCAAGAGCGGGCCAAAGAACGGGGATAAACCCTGACACTCCGAGTTCTGGGCCCCCATACGCCCACACAAGGCCCCAAGGCCCCCCCAAGAGGCCGCCAAGAGCCTCCAACAGTTCCCCGACGCATGCCCGCAAGGCCAAAATCCTTAATGTCCCAATGGTTTTGGAAGGAACGTTGTCTTCTCGCCTTTCGGCTAGCCGACGCTCCGCGACGCCCGAATACAACCACAAGACCGCCCCAGGACGGTCCAGGAGGCCTCCAAGCGCGTCCCCAGACGGCCCAGGGAGCCCCAAGATGGTCCGAGAGGCGCCCAAGACGGCACCGGAGGACCCCAAGCCAGGCCCAAGAGGGGGCCAAAGAATCGGGAAAAACGGTGCGATGATTTTTGAAGGAGTTTTGCCTGCTCGCCTTCTCGGCTAGCTGACGCTCCAAGACGGCCGAAGAGACCCACAAGACCACCCCAGGACGGCCCAGCAGGCCTCCAAGCGCGTCCCCAGACGGCCCAGGGAGCTCCAAGATGGCCCAAAACGCGCCCAAGACGGCCCCAGAGGACCCCAAGCCAGGCCCAAGAGGGGGCCAAAGAACAGGGATGAACTCTGATACTTCGAGTCCTGGGCCACTATACGCCCACACAAGGCCCAAAGGCCCCCCCAAGAGGCCGCCAAGAGCCTCCAACAGTACCCCGACGCATGCCCCCAGAGGCCAAAATCATGTGTTTCTCCTTGGTTTTTGAAGGAATTTTGCCTTCTCGCCTTTCGGCTAGCCGACGCTCCACGACGCCCGAATACAACCACAAGACCGCCCCAGGACGGCCCAGGAGGCCTCCAAGCGCGTCCCCAGACGGCCCAGGGAGCCCCAAGATGGTCCAAGAGGCGCCCAAGACGGCCCCGGAGGACCCCAAGCCAGACCCAAGAGGGGGCCAAAGAACGGGGAACAGCCCTGACACTCCGAGTCCTGGGCCCCTATACGCCCACACAAAGCCCCAAGACCCCCCCAAAAGGCCGCCAAGAGCCTCCAACAGTCCTCCGAAGTATGCCCCCAGAGGCCAAAATCTTTAATTTTCTATGGTTTTTGAAGGAGTTTTGCCGTCTCGCCTTCTCGGCTAGCCGACGCTCCACGAAGCCCGAAGAGACCCACAAGACCGCCCCAGGACGGCCCAGCAGGCCTCCAAGCGCGCCCCCAGACGGCCCAGGGAGCCCCAAGATGGCCCAAGAGGCGCCCAAGACGGCCCCAGAGGACCCCAAGCCAGGCCCAAGAGGGGGCCAAAGAACAGGGATGAACTCTGATACTTCGAGTCCTGGGCCCCTATGCGCCCACACAAGGCCTCAAGACCCCCCCAAAGGGAACGCCAAGAGGTCACCAGAGGCCCCCAAGAAGCCCAAAGCAAACCCCACGAGACCCCAAGACGGCCCCCAAGAGGCCCCATAAGAGGCTCCACGGAGCGTCCAAGAGGCTCACTTGAGGCTCCCAACAAGGCCCAAGAGGCCTCCAAGCGCCTCCAACAGTCCTCCGACGCATGCCCCCAGAGGCCAGAATCTTTACTTTTTCTACTTTTTTTGAAGGGGTTTTGCCGTCTCGCCTTCTCGGCTAGCCGACGCTCCAAGACGGCCGAAGAGACCCACAAGACCGCCCGAGGAAGGCCCGACAGGCCTCCAAGCGCGTCCCCAGACGGCCCAGGGAGCCCCAAGATGGCCCCAGAGGCGCCCAAGACGGACCCGGAGCAGGGAAAAACCCTGACACTCCGAGCCTTGGGCCCCCATGCGCCCTCACAAGGCCTCAAGACCCCCCCCAAGGGAACGCCAAGAGGTCCCCAGAGGCCCCCAAGAAGCCCAAAGCAAGCCCCACGAGGCCCCAAGACGGCCCCCAAGTGGCCCCAGAGGCGCCCACGACGGTTCCGAGACGGCCCAAACGGCACCGACGAGCACGGCCACTAAGAGTCCCTGAGTGGTTACAGAATTTCCTCTAACAGAGGGGGGGGCGGACGACAGGTGAGAGGCAGAACGCAGGCCTCAACAGCCGTTTTCGATGCTCCGAGGGTCTACGATTGACGATCCAAGGCCTGGGGCATGCAGGATCGAGGCACGAAGGATGAGGAGGAGGAGCAGCGGGAGAAGGAGGAGGAGGCGGAGGCGGAGGCGGAGGCGGAGAAGCAGGAGGAGGCGCAGGTGGAGACGGAGGAGCAGGAGGAGCAGGAGGAGAAGGAGGAAACACACGGAGGCCCAGAAGATAGCCTCATGAAGGTCCAGATGACGTGCGGAGCTCTGAACGTGGTCCCAAGACGGCCCAAGAGGAGCCCAGACTGCCCAAGAGGTCCCAAAAAGCCCCAAAGAGGCCCACACGAGGTTCTGAGAGGCCCTTAACCCCCCAAGAGGCCCAAAGAGACTTCAAAGCTGCCTCCAAGAGAGTGGGCCCAGCGCTCCTGACACGCCCGAGAGAGTTTCGCCTTCCACAGAACTCCAACAACACGGCTTTCCCAACGTAGCGGAGCACGTCCGACCCAACAGCGGTTTCTGTGAAGACCTTACTGGGTTCCACTCCACATCTTGTTGAAGTTCTCTTGGGCCCTCGGCGCTCCCGGTGGCCTTCCCCTCCCGAGCCCTTCCTCAGGCGCTCCTGAGACGCCTCAGATGGGCCTCCTTCGACTTTGACGCACATCCCCGAGAGACTTCAAACCTGCCTCCGATAGGAGGGGGGCGAACGGGCCGTGCGCCGGGGCCAAGCTGCGGGAGCGTTGCAAGAGCTCGGACACGAATACGCGGTCTCGCTGCCGCCGCCCCGGCCGCCGCCGTGCTGATAGGTTTTCGGCAAAACCTCCGCCGTTCCTCCGAGAACCATTCCAGAAAGATGTCGTGGATGGAGTCCACGGGTCAGCCCTAGTCTCTACTACATTGCAGGGCCCAGTGCGTGCCAGAAGGGCGCAGGCTCCAATGAGTCAAACCCGCCCCGGGCTGGCCCCGGGCCGCCCCGGGCCGCCCAGGCAGATGTCGAGAGGGCCCCCAGAAGCCCCCAAGACGGCCCCGGAGAGCCCCGGCACGCTTAAAGATGGGCCCAAGACGCCCGAGATTCGCCAGACGGCCCAAGAGGCGTCCAAGACGCCCGAAGAGGCCTCCCAAGAGGCCTCCCAAGAGGGCCCCGAGCGACAGAAATCGTCGATTTCTATTATGTTTTTCGATGTTTTCGGCCTCCTCGCCTCTTCGGCTTCCCGACGCTCCAAGACGGCCCAAGAAGTCCCCCCGATCGCTCCAAGACGGCCGAAGAGGACCCCAAGAGAGCCCCAAGACGGGCCAGGAGGGCCCCAAGACGGTCCCAAGACGCCCCAGGACGGCCCCAGGACGGCCCAGGAGGCGCCCAAGACGGCCCAAGAGGCACCCAAGACGGCCCCAGGAGCGGCCCAAGACGGCCCAAGACAGCCCAAGAGGCGCCGAGGCGGGCCTCAGACGGCCCCAAGACGGCCCAAGAGGCACCCAAGACGGCCCGAGAGGGCCCTAAGAGCCCCCCGGGAGGCCCAAAAGAAGGCCGAAGAGGCTCCGAAACGGCCCCCACGAAGCCTTCAGTGGCTTCAGAATTCCCTCCAGGAGCGGGGGAGCGGACGAGAGGCGACAGGCATATCGCAGGCAAAAACGCCCCAAGAGATCCCCAAACGGCCCCCACGAAGCCCTAAGTGGCCTCAGAATTGCTTCCAGGAGGGGGGGAGCGGACGAGAGGCGACCGGCATATCGAAGGCACAAAAGAACAATGTTGGACGCTCCGAGGGCCTTCGATGTTTCTCTGTTGGGGAGAGTCGTCGTAGGATCGACGATTGCCGACCGAGGGCATGGAGAATCCAGCGAAAGAGGAGAAGAAGGTGGAAGAGGAGGAGGAGGAGGCGGAGGAGGAGGAGGAGGAGGAGGGGGAGGAAGCAGCAGGACCTCCGAGCAGCAGCAGCAGCTGAGGAACACACCCCCTCGCTTGCCCAGAGACCCCTCGCCACGTCGAGCTGATGTTGTGGACGGAGTCCGCAGGTCTGCCCTAGTCAGCTACAATGCTGGGATCAGTGCGTGCGAGAAGGGCGAGCAGTGGCAGCTGGCCCTGGCGCTGCTGAGCGAGATGTGGGAGTGTAAGCTGGAGCCCGACGTCATCTCTCCTACATGGCCAGTGGAAGCGCGTGCGAGAAACCCAGGGCCTCAAGTGGACAAAATCGCCCCTTTACGGCGCCACCACGGGGCCGAATCGCTCAGGCCAGTCCCAGAGGCGCTCCGTCCAAGAGCGCTCCAAGACGGCCTAGTGGGTCCCGAGACGGCCCACGAGGGCCCGAAGCCTTCCGGGGGGGGCTCCACGACGACCCAAGAGGCCGCAAAGACGCCCCAAGAGGGCCCCGAGTGCATGCCGAAGAGGCACAAATCGTCAATTTCCGATGGGAAGACTTATATTTTCAGCATGCCCGCCTTGTGTGCTCCTCAGCGGCCCAGGACACGCCAAGAGGCCTCCCAAATCGCCCCGAGAAGACGCCAGCGGCCCCTAAGAGGGCTCCAAGACGGCCCACAAGAGCCCCAAGACGACGCCAGAGAGCCCTGAACCGGCCTCACAGAACCCCAAGACGGCCCCAAGAGAGCCTTCCAAGACGGCCTTAGGCAGCCTCAAGAGAGCTCCAAGACGGTCCAGGGCCTCCCGGACGCCCCGTGACGGCCCAAAATGGCCCCAAGGACCACCAAGCAGGCCCAGAGACGCCCATTAAAAGAGCGATCGGTGAAGTACAAAGCTCTTCTCACCAAGGCTCCCAAGAGCGAGCCGCAGCGTAGAGAACTCTCCAAGGCACAGCTCGTGGACGAAGTCCACGGGTTCGCCCTAGTCAGCTTCAGCGCTGGGATCAGCGCGTGCGAGAAGGGCGAGCAGTGGCAGCCGGCGCTGGCGCTGCTGAGCGAGATGTGGGATGCGAATCTGGAGCTCGACGTCATCAGCTACAACGCTGGGATCAGCGCGTGCGAGAAGGGCCGGCAGTGGCAGCGGGCGCTGGCGCTGCTGAACGAGATGTGGGAGTTTAAGCTGGAGCCCAACGTCTTGAGCTACAACGCTGGGATTAGTGCGTGCGAGAAGGGCGAGCAGTGGCAGAGGGCCCTGGCGCTGCTGAGAGACATTCGTGTGGCGAAGCTGGAGCCCAACGTCATCAGCTACAACGCTGGGATCAGTGCTTGCGAGAAGGGCGAGCAGTGGCAGCGGGCTTTGGTTGTGCTCGGCGAGATGAGGGAGGTCAAGTTGGTGCCCGACCTGATCAGCTACCAAGCTGGGATCAGCGCATGCCACAGATGCGTGCAGTGGCGGGGGGCGTTGTCGTTGTTCGGCGACATGCAAGAGGGCTCACTGGAGCCGAACGAGGACAGCTACAACTTGGGAATCACAGCGTACGAAAGGGCCTCTCGCGGCGCTGCAGGATTCCCGGGCTGTCCTCAGATCGGTCTCTCGCGGCTTCGGGTCTCATGCGGAGCACCGCGCGTGCGGGGCCCTGGTGGGGGGCAACTACCGTGATGGTCTCGGCGGGCATCTCCATCGGCCAGTCATAATCCATTGAGTTTTGGGCCGCGTCCGTGCGGGACGTCGCGAGCCGTGGCAGCTGGGTCTGCCGCGGGTAGGCGAGATGCAGAGGACGAAGCTGAAGCCCAGCGTCATCTCTTCTGCAGCGCTGGGAGTCAGTGCGTGCGAGGAGGGCGAGCAGCGGCAGCGGGCTTTGGCGCTGCTGAGCGAGATGTGGAAGTTTAAGCTGGAGCCCAACGTCTTGAGCTACAACGCTGGGATCAGTGCGTGCGAGAAGGGCGAGCTCCATCAGCGGGCCCTGGCGCTGCTGAGCGACATGTGGGAGATGAAACTGGAGCCGAATGCAGTGGCAGCGGGCCCTGGCGCTGCTGAGCGAGATGTGGAAGGGGAGGCTGGAGCCCAACGCCATCTCCCCCGTGAAGGACGCCGTGCCGGTCGCGTGGGGGATGTAGTCCACGTTTGCAGCCGTGGTGCGCCTCGGCACCATTGGGTGGGATTGAGGTTTCGGCGATGATTCGTGCTGGAGGCTTGGATGATCTCCCTGCCCCATTCTGTTGCTGCATGTGTGCAGGTTGCTTCATGGGCCGCCTGAGGAAAACGCACTCTTCCACTCCGCCTCCTACCTCTGCCGCCTCTCTGCCGTTCCTTCCCTCCCCCTCCGCACTGGGGCCCGGCGCAGCCCGCAGGCGTCAGCGGCCCAGCGCGCCAGGGAGGAGGGGTCTGGTTCGGCCGGGCCAGGAGGGGGGTACTCCGCGTGGTCTGCACCGGGTTGGACGCAAGTGGTTGTTCAGAGGCCATTCAACCTCTCCTCGGGGCGGCTCCCGCTCTGGATCACGCGCGTGTCCTGTGTGCCTTCTGGCCCCTCTCCGCTTCGGCCCTTCCGCGCTTGCTCGCCCGCACCTTCAGCCCAGAGGGTCCCTTCCTGGAGTGTCGCTGATGGGGACAGGGTCTCCTCCTCCTCCTCCTCCTCCTCCTCCTCCTCCTCTCCTCCTCCTCCTCCTCCTCCCTCCTCCCTCCTCCCTCCTCCCTCCTCCCTCCTCCCTCCATGGGCCACCCAGCCAGCCAGCCTATCTTCCTCCTCCTCTTCTTCCTCCTCCTCCTCCTCCTCCTCCTCCTCCTCCTCGCGAGGGGGTACAGGCCCGTGGATGCCGCAATCGAGGAAGAGCGCCCCAGCATGAAACAGCCGGACCGTCGCAGATTTCGTGATCCGTTTCTTACTCATGGTTTTGCCCATCGGCGCGAGCCCTCGCACCCCCTCCCCCCCCCCCGGAGTAGACCCTGGCTGCTCCCGGCGCCTGTTTCAGGCAGGTGGAGTCTCCCCCCATAGGAGACGCACTGCTGCAGGCAGTAGTCGCATGAAAAGCATAGGTCCTTGAGCCAGATCCCACCCCCTCACCCCGCCCCCCTTCCCCTCCAAATGGCGAAGCGCCGAATCAGAAAACGTTCCCTTGGGGATGCTCGATCCCCGAAGGCCGATCCCCAGACCCCCGACGTGGTGTTTTTTTCGCAGCGTCGGCTCCCAGAGGTCTGGACCACTTCCCCGGGTCCGGTTTTCAACCTCAGCCGTTTTTTTGACGCTCCCGAGGCCCAGTGAGGGCCCCCCGGAGGCCGAACATAGGAACAACAACCTACCGTCGTGTTTTTTCACAGCGCGAGGGGGTCGGGGAACGGAGGCGGAGCGAGCGAGGAGCGGATCTCCCTCCTCCTCCTCCTCCTCCTCCTCCTCCCTCCTGCTCCTCCTCCTCCTCCTCCTCCTCCTCCTCCTCCTCCTCCTCCTCCTTCTCCTCCTCCTCCTCCTCCTCCTCCTCCTCCTCCTCCTCCTCCTCCTCCTCTTCCTCCCTCTCCTCCCCCTCCTCCTCCTCTTCCTCCCCCTCCTAATTAGCCTTCCTCCTCCTCCCCCTCCTCCTCGACCCCCCGAGGAGCTCGAGGAGGGGCTGCTCGAGCTCCGCGGCGCCCTTGGCGAGCAGGGCGCCGCGCTCCGCGCGGAGGCCGCCGCCGCGGCCGCCGAGTGGCGCGAGGGGCTGGCGCAGGCGCGGAGCGAGCGCGAGCGCCTGGAGGCCAGACGTACTCTCCGGAGGAGGAGAAAGAGGAGGAGAACGAAGAGGAGAAGGAGGAGGAGGAGGAGGAGGAGGAGGAGGATTCATCCAACAATGTTAATACTTCGCCCACCCCCACCGCGCCTCTCCCACTGAGTAGTGGATTTGTTGTGTGTGTGTGTGTGTGTGTGTGCGTGTGTGTGCTGAAAGTTGTTTCCCAACCCTCCTTTTTCGGATATCCGTTTTGAATAGAGCACTGCGGTCTCCAGTCCTCCTCTTCCTCTTCTCCCGCTTCCCGTCTCCCGCTTCCGTCTTGTCTCCTCTTGCCTTGCGCGAGCCTGGCCATCCTTAGGGGGCTGCGATCCGTGACACTGTCGCCACTTTCGAGGGCTGCTGGTGGGTCCTGCGGAGTGAGGCACCGCGGGGATCTGAGCGGGACCTCGCCGTCCCTGGGGGGCTGCGATCTGCGACACAGTCGCCACGCTACTTTCGAGGGTTGCTGGTGGGTCCTGCGGAGTGAGGCACCGCGGGGATCTGAGCCGGACCTCGCCGTTCCTGGGGGGGCTCTGGAGAGTTGCTGTGGGATACGTCAGGCGCAACGGGCGCATGGCACAGCCAACGGGGGTGATTTGTGAAACAGACTATTTGCCGGGCGATGGCCATAACGTTGCGCCTACATTTAGCCCTCGGGGGCTCTCAAGAGCTGCTGTGGGATACGTTGGGTGCAACGGGCGCATGGCACAGCCAACGGGGGTGATTTGTCAGTACGTAGCCCTTAGATCTTGATCGGGGGCCTGAGAGCCTTCCGACTGCTGCTCGCAAAATCACATGCGTCCATGTTACGTCATCGCCCCCGTTGTAGCAATCCTGATGTGCTTATGCCCCGCATTGCGCAGGGGTTGGGTACGTCGCCAGGGTAAGTTTGCTTTTGTCCTTGTGTTTTCTCGGTTTTCCAGCCGTCGGATTTTGATTTCTTTGTTGTGTTTGCTTCTCCTGGTGTTTGTTTTGGTTTTCACCGCCAGCATGACGAATCCAATGTACTCCGCCCATACAACGGATTGTGTCGCACCCCAAACAAAAGGAATCCCTGCATGGATCCTCTACAGGGGAAGGATAATGCCGACGAAATAGCTTTCGGAGGACGATTCGAGAAGCACGAGAAGGAAGAAATTGAGGACTACAGAGGAAAAAAAGGACGAGCAGACCAGGGAGGAGGGCGACGACGACGAGGACGACGACGAGGAGGAATCGCAAGAAACAGCTTTGAAGCCTTTGAAGGCCGAAAGGCCGCCATACCCACCCAGTCTGGAGCTCGAAGTCCCCTCCCCTCCCCCCCCCTCCTGCCCAATGCCGAACCGCAGAAAGAAAGAAAACGCTCACTTGATGTAGTTGTTTCTTCTTCCACTGGAGGGTCCAACCGCATCGGGCAGCGATCGAACCGCCCGGTGTGCCTGGCAGGCGGCCGCTGGCGCGCTGAGGGCCCACTGCGAGCAGTCGTATGCCACGAAGGAGAGCCGCCCTCGGGGGGCCCTCCAAGCGCCCTCGGGAGCCTTCGAAAGCCTGCAGAGGCTTGGTGTTAAGTCGGGCCTGTCCCTCTACAGGAGTAATATTCATAATTGTCCAAACATAGAATCGGGACGTTTTGTTTGTTTGTTTGTTTGCTTGTTTGTCTTAAACAATAAAAATAACATCTGATGTTTGAGTATCTTTTATGTGTCGTCGGCAATCGGCCTGTAGGGGGACACGCCCGACCTAATCCAAGCGCCCTCGGGAGCCTTCGAGAGCCTGCAGTGGCTTCTGTGGGGAACCTCCAGCGACCCCCGGGGGGACCTCCGCAGCAGGCACCTGGTGGCCGCCGCCGCGCCTGGCCAGGGCCATCCTGGGCCCCAGGATGGTGTGTTCAGACCCTCTTGGCCTTGGCCTGGAGGGTGCATCCACCCAATCCCAGGGCCCAGGACTGTTCTTGCCAGGCACGGTGCATGGTGGTGCATGGGGTGGCTTTCTCCGAACATGACAGACAGGCATACACATGATCTTTCGAAGGTCCGAGCGTGTTTCTGGATCTGCACTGGACCCCCGTGGCGGCGCCTCCGGCGCCACCCCTGGCGCGCTCCGCGCGCCTGGGAGAAATGGTCCAGTGTAGATGCAAGAACCCCGCGCGGACCTCCGAAGGATCTGTTTGCACTGTCTTTCTCCATCGAACACGGGGTGTGCCGAGGTTTCGCTTGGTTCTCGGTCGGTCTTGTCGCCCGACGGTGCCTCGTGGGCGCCCCGTGCGCTGGGTGGGTGCCGAGGTTCCTCGGGCGAGGTCGGCTGCCGCCCGTGGGCCCCTTTGTTCGGCGCGCCGCGTGGGAGGCCACCCGCGGGGGCCCTGTGGGCGCCCGTGTGGCTGGCTATCGCACACCTGGCGCCACACCAGCTTGCACCGCCCAGCCTGCACCTCCTCCCCCTCTCCTACCCAAGCCTCCCCCCTCCGCCTCTCCCTCCTCCTCCTCCTCCCCCTCCCCCGCCTCCCCCCCTCCTCCCCCTCCTCCTCCCATCCTCCCCTCCTCCTCCTCCTCCTCATCCTCCTCCTCCTCCTCCTCCTCCTCCTCCTCCTCCTCCTCCTCCTCCTCCCCTCCTCCTCCCCCTCCAGCTTCGCCTCCCTTTCCGCCTCCTCCCCCTCCTCCTCCTCCTCCTCTTCCTCCTCCTCCTCCTCCTCCTCCTTCTCCTTCTTCTCCTCCTCCTTCTCCTCCTCCTCCTCCTCCTCCTCCTCCGCCTCGCACCGCCTAGCCTGCACCACATGGACTGCGCCATGCACCGCCTAGTCTATGCGTAAGGTCGCTATGCAGTCCTGCGCAAGGCCCGTAACTTTGTGTTGCTCTCCTAGCCTGCACACAATGTCGCCGCGCCGTCCGTTCCGACCCTCGGCCTTACGTCTTGGGGCGGGCGCCGCAGGCACTGGGGCAAACGCCGCCTCGGGTGCGGTGGGCTTGTCCTGGGTTCGCCGCGGTACAGGCGTCGTCTACCCAGGGCGCGGGCCGAAGGGCTCGCAGTGGTGTCGGCGTCGCCCACTTGGTGCGCGTCGAGAGCACGCGGCTCGGCGACGCACGGACTGCACCACGCAGCCCTCACACACCTTCAGCGCCACAACTCCCGGCCTCTGGGGCCCGCGCTTGCAAGCAAGCGCCCGCCTCCTCCTCCTCCTCCTCCTCCTCCTCCTCCTCTTTCTCCTCCTCCTGCTTCTCCTCCTCCTCCTGCTCCTCCTCCTCCTTTTCCTCCTCGTCGTCCTCCTCCTCCTCCTCGTCCTCCTCCTCCCCCTCCTCCTCCCCCTCCTCCTCCTCCTCCTTCTCCTCCTCCTCCTCCTCCTCCTCCTTCTCCTCCTACTCCTCGTCTTGCTCCTCCTCGAAGGAGGCCCACGCTCGGGCCGAGGGCGAGCTCCGCGAGGCGCTGGAGGCGGTGCATGCCGGGCTCTCCGCGGGCCTCGAGGCCCACAGAGGCGCGGGTGCCACCCGCGCAGAGGTCGCCGAGCTGGAGCGCTCGCTCGCGGCCGCCGCGGCCGCGGCGCGGCAGGACTCGAAGGAGGAGGAGGAGGTGGAGGAGGAGGAGGAGGGGAGGACGAGGAGGAGGAGGAGGAGGAGGAGGAGAGGAGGAGGAGGAGGAGGAGGAGGAGGAGGAGGAGGAGGAGGAGGAGGAGGATAAGGCACCCGTACGGTGGAGGCCCATGCCAAGAGGCACCCTGCTTGCCTCCAGGGTACCCTGAGTTTCTTGGGTTTCGATGGCTTTGCGATGTGGAGCGTGGCGTTCCCGCACCAAGTCAAGGGACGTCCCGGGGTCTCAGGGTTGGGTTTCTTGTGGAAGGTTTCTTGTGGTCGAGCTCCAACTGTAACGCTACCCTCGCCTTGTTTTCTCCTTTTTTGGCCTCGTGGGCGGCCCTCGTCGCCACCGCTGGATTCGCCTCGAAGTCCTGTTTAGAACGCACCTGGGGACAGGTCTGGGGAGTAGCGGTATCGGTACTTCTTGGTTCCTCCAAGGACGTGGCACAGGCCGAGCGCAGGGGCCAAGACGGCCTGGACGAGCTCGACCGTCGCGTGCGCGAGGGTTTCTCGACCTTGGCGATGCTCCAGGACTTCGCGGACCCTGCAAACAATAGGGCAGTTGATTTTCCGTTTTCGTTTTTCCGTTTTTGTCACCGTTTCGGGCGCAGTTTTTGCTGTTTCTGGCGCCGCTGTTTTACCAGTTACGTTTCCTTTGGTGGGGGTTTGGTCCAGATCGCAGTGTTGGGACTGGATCCGAGCTGTTTTCGAGCCGCTTCCGAACGGACTTCGGATCCCTGGACTGCCCAGGCCGTTTCGGTGAACCGTTTTTTGAATCGTTTCGGTGAACCTTCTCTTGCCGTTTTCAGCATCCAGGGACAGTTCTTGTGAAAACGGTGAAGAAACACGCTCCCTCCGTTTCCCAGGGCCCACTGATTGGCCACTCGCAGAAGGGGGGTAGGGGGGAGGGGGAAGGATTCTCAGGAGCACCCCTGCTTCTCAGAAGGCGCGTGCCTTGTCTGCAGATGTAAGGCTGGCGCGAGGAGGAGGAGGAGGAGGAGGAGGAGGAGGAGGAGGAGGAGGAGGAGGAGGAGGAGGAGGAGGAGGAGGAGGAGGAGGAGGAGGGAGGGAGGAGGAGGAGGAGGGGTGGAGGATCAGGAGGAGGAGGAGGAGGAGGAGTGTAGGTCTACCCTCCGAAGAAGCCTTCCCCCCCCCCTCCCCCTGCCCCCCCTTGTGCGCGCCGCCGAGCCGAGCTCCAGGAGCTGCGGGACGACATCGGCGCCGTGGCGCAGGCCGCCGAGGACACCTCCGCAGGGCTTCAGACGCTGGCCAGGGACGTCGCCTTCGAGCGGGCCGCGCTGTCGGAGTACCGGCAGGAGCAGGGCGCCCTGTCCGGCAAGGTGCTCCGCCTGGGCAGAGAAGCCCGGCTGACGCGAAGATCGGGACAAAATCGGATCGGGATAACTCGAAATCTCTGAGAATCGGCTGGTTTGGAGGATGTATTGGGCGCCGCGGCCGCTCCAGAGCGTTCCGGAACGCTCTGAGAGCGCTCCGGAACGCTCTGGAGCGATTTATCCCGATCCTAGCCCTGTTTTTCATACTGTAACGAAACCCGAGTACTAATGCCATACTGTGTGTGCGTCGCCCCCCAGGGGCCACGCGCGCACCGAGAACCCTTCTAGTTCGTGCGTTGTGGCGAGCGCTTTCTGGCCACACCGCTCGGGAAGCGATGTACTACAATATGGGTACACTGACTGTTCGGGTCGGAAGCGCGCCTCCAAGAAGGGCATCTATAGTTCTAGTAGTCTGTGTGCGTCACACGGTAATCGCCGTGGCGGAAGCGGGTCCCGGGGGAAACGGGTCCTGAGATGTTTCGCCGTTTTTGGTTCCCCGGGGCCCTCCACGGGCTCAGGGACTGTCGGAACACGGCTCGGGATGAGAATCTGGTCTTGGGGGAAGGCCCCGGGGTCAGGACCCGTTTCCTGCAGGATCCGTTTTTCATTTTGTTAACGGTATCAGTTCGCCTTGGTGGGCCTTGCTGTCCGATGTCGTGATAGCCCAGTTTGGAGCCGGCTGGGGGTCCGAGGTGGCCCAGCACTGGTTCTGGCCAGCAGTAAGGGGGGCCAGGTCCGAGGTTCTCGGTTCGGGAAGGTTGTGTCCTTTTTTGGCCTCCCGGGGCCTTTCTCGGGCCCTGGCACCATCAGAAACTGACTCAGGGTGAAAAGCTGCACCAGATGGACCTCGGGAGCGGGCCGGGTCCGGGGACGGATTTTGAGCGGATTGGGCTACACCCTCCCCTCCCGACCGATATTTTATTCTGGGGTCCCCAGAGCGTGTTTTATTAGGCTCCGGCAAGTTCACTTGCATGGCCGGGGGGGGGCTGAACCTGAAACAAGCCGCAAACGACTTGCACGTACGGAAACCACGCACGTCGAAAGGCATTTGCGCGCCGGCATGCCTTTCAAGAGAGGCGATGGGGGGGGTGGCGGGGGCGAGCGCCATGCAAGTGATTCAGACCCCCCGGCCGCCTCCAAAGTTATGTTGAAGGGCAGCGGCACCCGTCGTCTCCGCTGTCGCTCATGCTCCGCCGTCTCTCTTCGGATCGTCGCGCTGCCCTTGTCCGCCCTGCCCTTGCGCTGGCCAGTGGCGCTCTGTCCAGCAAGGTGGCCGCGGCCGCGCGGTCGGTGGGCGAGGTGCGCGACGCGGTGGAGGGCTGGAGGGCGCAGGCGTAAGTCGGGCATGCCCCTCTACAGAAGGAAGACTCAAGAGTAGTTCAAAATCGTCTGGGGAGGATATCTCGCTCTCTTCCGACTGTTTCTGGGGCTCGCTCTTTCGGCAAGTTTACGCTTGTCTTCCGACCTCCGCCTGGTAGGAGGGCGTGCCCGACCTGCGCGCAGGCCGACGCGCGGTGCCAGAGGCACGAGCAGCAGCTCGCGGACCTGGGCGAGTTCGACCGGCGCTTCCTGGAGCAGTGGAAGCGGCGGGCCGAGGCCCAGGAGCGGGGCCGCGCCCTCGCCGCCTCGGGGCACGGGCGCGGCCGCCGATGGCACGGCGGCCGGCACGAGGGTCAGGAGCAGCTCCCTCGGCCCCCCTCGGGGCACACGCATCGGGCCGGACGCAAGGGGGGGAGAGGGGGGGCTACGACATCTGCTGCATGCAGCTGGCTTCAGCCCCACCGAAGGGCCTATATTGCTCGATCCACATGGGCGCCTCCCGGCGCCGGGAGGCGCCGGGGAAATCAGCTAGGTGAGCTGATTCTCAAACCCCTCCTTTGCTATCCCCCCCCTTTCGCCCGGCCCGAAGGCAGCACCGGCAGCGACAATGACAAGACGGCTGGCACGAGCGCTCAGAGAGAGAACAGCCTTGGCCCTGGAGGGGTGCCCTGGTAGTGCTGCTCGACTTGGATACCTTGCGTGTGTTGGAGTGGAGCGTTGCCCTTGGAGCGTTGCCTTTGGAGGGGTGGAGGGTGCCCTTGGATCAGGAGGGACAAAAGCACAGACACAAATCATCGTCGACTCCTTGAAAATAGTGGGGGGGAAGACGAGCACCTAAAAAGGTAGATGGAACATATGGGGCATCTTGGGATTTGTGTGTATTTGTGTGTGCCAATGTGTGTGTGTGTGTGTATGTGTGTGTGTTGTGTGTGTGTGTGTGTGTGGGTTGTGTGTTGTGTGTTGTGTGTTGTGTGTTGTGTGTTGTGTGTTGTGTGTTGTGTGTGTTGTGTGTGTTGTGTGTGTATGTGTGTGTATGTGTGTTGTGTGTGTGTGTGTGTGTGGTGTGAGTGCGTGTGTGTGTGTGTGTGTATGTGCGTGTGTGTATGTGGTGTATGTGTGTGTGTGCGTGTGTGTGTGTTTGTGTGTGTGTGTGCGTGTGTGTGTGTGTGTGTGTGTGTGTGTGTGTGTGTGTGTGTGTCTGGGCACCTTCATTGGATGGGTGCCCTTGGAGTGTTCTTCGTGTGTTGGCCCCTGCGCCGTGGAGTGCTACCTCGGTTTGGGAATCTCTCCACAAGGCCCTGGGCCGTCGGCGAGGGTGCCTCGGGCCTTCGACCTGGGCATCTCCCATGGGGCCTTGAGCCTTCCACTTCGGTATCTCCACGGAGGACGAGGGCGGAGGAGGGGGGGGATGAGGAGGAGGAAGAGGAGGCAGAGGAGGAGGAGGAGGAGGAGGAGGAGGAGGAGGAGGAGAGAGGAGGAGGAGGAGGAGGTTTGGGGAGGAGGAGGAGAAGGAGGAGGAGGAGGAGGAGGAGGAGGAGGAGGAGGAGGAGGAGGAGGAGGAGAAGGAGGAGGAGGAGGAGGAGGAGGAGCAGCTTGAGGAGAGGTCTTGGACCTTGGGTCTTGGGCCTTGACCCACGTTCTTATGGCCATGCCTTGACCGTAAACATACGTAAAACCTCGGAGTTCCTTGCGGATTTCGTGGATCGGTACTGGGCTCCCCTCCCCTGGGGGCGGCGCCGGAGGCGCCGCCTGGGGGCCCCAGCGCCGATCCGTCGAATCCGCGCGGACCTCTGAGTTTCTGTTCCCCGACCTTGAGGGGTTCCCGTTGAGGGGTTCCCCTGAGGGGTCCTGGTGGGACCCCCCGGGATCTGGCCCCGGCCACAGGCGGAACGCTGGCAGAAGCCGGCATGCAGAAGACGGCAGAAGACGGCAGGAATTCTGCGGATGCGTCTCCAGGGGCCCGGACGATTCCAAATTGGTGCGCAAGGTGGCCTCAGAAGGTCCCAGGAAGCCCCCCAAAGAGCCACCAAGGCTCCAGACTGCCCAAGTTGAAGCACGGGAGACGCCAAAAGGCCACCACGAGGCCCCCAAGGTGACCTTCCAGAGGCTAACAGCGTGCCATTCCTAATGTACATTTGTACCGAATGCCCCGTTTCGGTTTCCTCCACGCCCGCGACGGCCCAAGAGGCCTCCAAGTCCGCTCCACGGCTGCCCAAGACGCCCCCTAAGAGGTCCCCAAGACGGCCCAAGGCCTCTTCAAGACAGCCGGCGAGGGCTCCAAGGCTGCCTCAGGCAGACTCCCGGGGAGCCCTACAGGGCTCTCATCTCACGTGGGAAAGCGCACGCTCATACCGCATCTCTTTTGTCGGTTTCCTCTGCGCCCGAGACGGCCCAAGAGGCCTCCAAGTTCGCTCCAAGGCTGCCCAAGACGCCCCCAAGTGGACCCCGAGACGGTCGAAGACCCCTCCAAGACAACCGACGAGGGCCCCAAGGCTGACTCAGGTAGGCGCCAGGGAGCCCCACAAGGTTTCCAAGAGAGGCCTCAGAGGGTCCCAGGACGCCTCCCAAAGAGCCATCAAGGCTCCAGCCTGCCCAAGTTAGAGCAGGGGAAACACCAAAAATCCCCCACCAGGCCCCCAAGGTGATCCCCAAGAGGCTAGAATCATGCCATGCCCGGAGGAAACTATACATTTGTACTGCATACCCCTTGTCGTTTTCCTCCGCGTCCACGGCGGCCCCAGCGGCTTCCAAGGTCGTTCCAAGACGGCCCAAGACGCCCCCGAGAGGTCCCCACGGTTGCCCAAAGCCCCTCTAAAACGACCGACGGGAGCCCAACACAGCAAAACAAATGCCAAAATAATGCGCGTCGCCTTGAAAAGTCCCAAACATGCGTGTTAATTCCGGGGGGCAAAAGAAGAAGGGACAACAATTGAAAGACCGTGCGTGCCTGTGCGCGACGACCTCGTTGTAAAGATGATGTGCAACGGCGTTGTCTCACCGCCAACATCTCGAAGTGCCCCCTTCCATTCCAGCACCCGCTATTCTGCTGCCCCCGTCTTCGTCCCCTCTTGCTCTCCCTCCTCCCCCACACGTCGCTGCGACCTCGTCCTCAGATTCGTACAAGATCGATGGTGCTTGACACCAACGCCACGATTGGCACACAGTTCTTCGTCTAGAGTCACCCGCGTCGTCATCGCCGAGGCCTCGAGAACACACTCCTTCTTTCTTCTGCCGCTCTCTCCAGTCGTCCCCACCCGCTTTTTGTGCTGTCGGGGTTCGTGGCAACATCGGGCTGATCTGCTTCTGGCAGCAGTGGTTCCCCTAGGGGCCCCCTGCCCTCCCCCCCCGACTCCTCTTCCTCAGAGCGTGAATTACCTACCCCGCTTTCGCTTCCAGGCAAAACCAAGCCATACCACGCGCCTCCTCGTCAAGCGGCCTGACCAGTACAGGCTGCAATTTGGCATCGTTTGGTACCTCTTGGAAGCGAGGGTGGTCAACAGCGAGGTAGGTTTGGATTCCCCCTACTTCCCTCCCCTGCCTCAGGCTCCGCTCCGCCCCTCCCCATGCCCCGCCGGCCCCGCCCCTCGGGGGGAGCCCCCGCCCGTGCGCTCCCTCCGCCGCTCGTTCTACGGTCGGCCCAGATTCGTAGGCCGACCCCTGCCAGATCAAGGGCACCCTTGTGTCTTGTGTCTAGGCCTCCCAGATGGGGCCGGAGTAAATGGGGTCGGAGGGTCGCGCCGCATCGACGATGCATCGGCGATGCGGCTCGATGTGGAGCCCGATTTTCTCCACGCCGACGGCGCCGATGCATCGCCGATGTATCGGCGATGCGGCGCGATCCTCCGACCCCATCTACTCCGACCCCATCTAGGAGGCGTCTATTGTGTCTCGCGACCCATGCTTCCTGCACTCCTGTGGCAATGTGGTCCTCGGAAGGGTCTTGCGTCCTCTCGCGTGTCCTGGCCAATCAGGTCCGCCTGTACCCTCCCCCCCCCCTCGTGCTGCCCCGCCCCCCCGCGTGCCCCCGCATCATCGCGCGAGGAGCTCTACTTCTGCACATCCGCTGCTCCCTGGCCAGGCCCATCCTGCTCCTGGGAGCTGTGCCTACGCCCTCTTGGCCGTGCCGGGAGGGCGTGGCGTATGCGCCGCTGTTGGGTTCAGGGCTGGGCCTGGCCAGGGAGAAGCGGATGTGCGTAGATTCCGTCGCCCTATACATCACCACCTCGTGGCTTCCCCCCCCTCCCCCCAACATCTCACAGATCCGACGCTCTGATTTATGGTGCGCGGCCCCTCACGAGGCCCCCGCCCCCTCCCCCGCGGGGCCAGTTTTCTCCTTCGCGCCAGCACCGTTTTCCTGGTGGCCCCGGGGCCTCCCCGAAAGGGGCCCCCGAGGCAGAGCTCGTGGAAGAGCGCCCCGATGGAAAAAGTCGGACAGTCGGACCGAGCCATAAGGTTAGGTCGGGCATGTCCCACAGGCGGATTCTGGAAGAAAAATCAAACATAGCTAAACAATATGAAAGAGCTGTCAAAAATGGCTCGCCGGCGGCCCTCCCAGAGGTCAAGGCAGAGGCAGCGTCAGGGGGGGTATGCAGTCGGCCCCGATTGGTAGGTTGACCATGCTAAATCGAGGGTACCCTTGTTTTGGCGTCGCTGGGACGTGTGCGTGTTTGTTCGGCGGGGGTCATCGAGGAGCATCTTGGATCATCTTCCGAAATAATACACGCACGGAATCGATACATGCACGGGGAATGGACGTCCGAGCGATGGCGAATAGTGCCATGTCTATCCCGACCTGTGCAACCCGCATATCCTTTAAAATTCTGGTGCCACGTTGCCGCGGGAGGAGTTTGTGTCCTCTTGGGTGTCCTGACCAATCAAGTCCGAGTGTAGGCTCATCGAAGGACGCATCGAAATCGCCCATAGATCGCAGACAGGGGCCCGCTACAGTCAACCCGCATCGTACGGATGAGCGGTTTTCCAAGGTTGCCCTTGCATCCTTCCCCTTCGGCCAATCCTTGGCCGCTGTCGCTGGCCACGTCCCGCTTGCAAAGTGTCGATCTGGCCTTCCAAGGCCCTTGCATCCTTATTGTGCCATGGATCGCCGACGGGTGGCCTACCAGCCCCACGCTGCCCAGGACCGTGGGGTTCCTCTGTCGCGGGGGCTTGTCGCCGATCTGCCGGCGATGCATCGCTGACTCCAGGCCGATGTCTCGCCTCCCTGAGTTGGTCCCTCCTTTTCGTTTCCCTCCTGTGAGGCGTTCCAAAAATGGCTTTGCCTTCGAGGATCGGAGGAGTTGTCATCCCTTCCGCCGCGGAAGGCGGCAGAAGGGCGGCGGAAGGTCGGCGGAAGTAAAACGAGGCCGCCTCCGCC